TTTGTCCTTGGGATCATAATCATCATTACGCAATTATTAGGACGCTATTTTAGGAACGATAATGGGCTCGACTTCGTCAAGAATACGAGTATAATTGATTCATTCCATAATTAAATAAATTCAATTAGTAGCGGCCAAATTTCGGAAATTTTTGTCGTGTTCAAGTTCCACGGAAATTTCGGGAAATCTTGTCATTGAAAAATCAAATTTTCCGTTGATTTTCTGATCAAATGATCTGGAAATCAATAAAATATTCAATTTTTCTGTGAAAATTCTGAAAAATTCGGCAAATTCAGGGCAAAATTGAAAATTCATGGCATTTTCTTTCATATTCCACTGGAAATTCAATCACGTTGTGATGTTTCCGTCTCACTCTCGATGAAAACTATAAAATCTTTTATGAAATTTCAAAAAATTTCCAACAGTGCAGATAGCAAAATTTTTATCATCACTTTTTTGGAATGTGTATACATCTGCTGACATTTTCCTCTGAATAAATCTTCCAATTTTAATACCGATTTTGTTTGGATGGTTTTATGAGTTTGTGAAAGATTCCAAGATAGTGCGCTGTCAGCAGGCATTTTCGGAAATTGTAAACAGCAGTGATCGTAAGATCCTGATTTATTTTGAGAATTGTTAGGCAGTTGGTTGTCGTCCACTGATTTCCCAGCCTCATCGGAAAATTTATTACTCCGTGGAATGAGGAAATATCAAAGAAATTCAGCCTAAAATTCTCGTTTTTGAAAACTTAATAACGAAGCGATAAAACGATTCACGTCGACTTGGCTCTCAGCTTCTGCGGAATATCTCCGAATCTAAGGGAGATGGCGCAATTTTTGTAATGACCTTTTTTGTAGGGCCAATTGAGAGCTACAAAAAAGGTCATGACGAAAATTTTGATATCTGCCTTGAAATCCGAGATATTCGTTGAAAACTGAGAGTAGTCAAAATCAACTTGAACCGTTTTAATTCGCGAATGAATTTTGCTCTTAAAATTCAATGATTCGTGCATTTATGTTTTTCTCTATGTCGCAGGGACCTCCTGCACCAGATATTAATTTTCAGAAATAAATAAATGAATAAACAAAAAATAGAAAAAATGGAAAAAAAAATTAAAAAATTAATAAATGAAATTCGATGTTTAGCAGTAGAAAAAATGTTGCTTTGCTATTTCTTCTCATCAGAGGTCGATGCACCCCGCAAACTCGTATTTCTCGGCGAAACCACTCCAGACATTAAATTTGCCGCGACGATATGCCGCCCCATGCGATACGTGAACCAGAAAAGTGAAATGAAAAATAGATAAACCATGAAAAAAAAGGTAATCCATCAATCGGCGACAGACACCATTGAATTACCGCGAACGAGTGATGTAGAACATTCGTATGCATGAAAGTTTTATGTCCGACTCATCTGCATACAAATTATGCGCCTGCAACCATTCCGTAACCGACGGCCTCAGCGTCACAGGCCAGTCCTCCCCTGAGTAAAAATTGCCTTGGAAACTAATTAAGAATATCCAAGTGCCCATACTATTCAACAGGCAAAAAAATCTTGTTAAAATTGCGTGACAAAATATTATTTCGATGTTAAATGCTCTTGTGGATTTTTTTTAAAAAAACATTTCCCAAAGAAATGATCACAATTATTTAAAGTTCACATTTTTCAATCAATTTAACGAAATAAAATGAAACAACAAATCAAGTAGAGTAAATTAATGACTTTTTAATGAAATAAAAAATGAAAAATCATTATTTTTCATTGGAAAATTAAAAAATGACAAAAAGAATTTTCCATATTGACGACAATAAACCATAAATAATTGCTCACGTTGAACGGTCGCTACTGCGCTTTCACCAGAATCGCTTGATTATTTACCAATTAAACTAATTATCCAAGTTCCAGTGATTTATTTTGAAGTAGCCGTTATTTATTTAAAATCCATTATTTTAATTTTAGTGCACGCCAGCCGCATGTTACTGACACGTATGTTTTTTTTCTTTTTTTTTGTCGTTTTGTTTTTGGAATGACAACCCAGGTCACGACGCATGTCACAGCAAGATGTCTCTCAATCGAGATCCACGGAGAACCTGGCAGCCTCATTCTTCCGGTGCGTATTATATTTTTTGTAGATATTAGATGCAACATCGCCTGGCTTAACTCCCGTTATCATTTCTCCATTTTTTATTTGAGAAATTACTTGTCGTGTTACTATTTTAAGGTGAAACGTGAATTTCAGGGGAATATCAGGGTGATGGAATTCCCAGTAATAGGGGCGAGTGGGGCAAAATGGACGCTCGTAATTTTTTTTAATCTTCTGAAAAAAATTGAATTGAATAATTTTTTTTTTCATCAAAAGTACAACTCTCTCCCTTTGCGATGCGAATATCTCCGAATCGGAGGGAGATAGCGAAATTTTCGTAATAACCTTTTTTGTCGGGCCAATTGAGAGCTACAAAAAAGGTTATGACGAAAATTTTGATATCTCCCTTAAATTCCGAGATATCGCTTGAAAACTGATCAGTAGGCACAATTGTTTTCGAGTTAAAAACATTAGAAAATGGTTTAATGCGTCCGTTTTGCCCCACTCTCCCCTAATATTTTTGAAATCTTGAGTTTCCCCATCAACCTGATATTGGATAATACTTCCCGCAGTTGATCAAGAATTTCGCAATTAATTTCAACGCATTTTTTTCCAGGAGTAAAAGCCGAAGTGTTGATCATGGATTCTCAACGCCGTATGACCTGGAGTCACTGCGAAGCAAAGTCGAGGGTCGTTTCGAGTCAGTCGACAAGCTTTCCAGAGGTAAATGAACCTTAAATCACTTACAACTATAAAAATATGAAATTCATAAATTTCGAAAGAGTAATAAAACAATAATTCGAGTAATAATTGTTATTCAATAACAATTTTAACTTGAGATTGAAAAAAAATAGGTGCTTAATAGGAAATATCGTCGAATACACCCAAAGAAATATTTCATTTAAATAAAATGAGTAGTTTTTTCAATTAAAAAAATTTGTCCTTGATCCAAATAATGATTTTATTAATTAGAGCGGATTAGAACGAATTAATTAACATAACTGTTTTATAAACTTGAAACATTTCCATTGCTGAAATAAATAGAGAATACGTAATCTCTCTGGATGTAAATTGGCAAAAAAATTATTGAGAAATGAAAAATTTTATCTTTTTCCCGCGTCGACTGCTGCATTCGCCGGGGATTCCCCCGCGACGCGTCCGAAGAATTCCCATAATTTTCAGTTTACATGCCATCAATCACAGAAAGATGATGCATCGACTTGTCTCGCATTCAACTATTCATTGAGACCTCGACCCCCTCAATTGTATCGCATTGACTTACTTTTTTCAAAGTCAAACAAATACAATCTGGGTGTACCTCCAATGCCCAATAATCAGACGTCAACATTCATCAGTTTCTCTTCGCGAATGTTTATTTTATGAATGCAATTTATTTGCAAATCGACATTTTTTCAGAAATATTTTTTTTTCGTGTTTTTGGAGTTTTTTACTGAAAAATATTTCTAGTTTACAGTAAAAATCAATGAATTTCAGAAGTCTCTGATCATGAAACGAAGATTTTCCTTAGAAATCAGGCAAAGGATTTAATTATTTAAATTTAATTTATGGAATTGATCTCTTAAAGTCTTGAAATTCATGGAAAATTCATTATTCTTTTTCAATTCGATTCATCACTGATTTATTTTATTCAAAGAATGTCACCTGACATTCTTAATCAATTACTGGTGAATTAATGATCAATTAATCCTAGAATTTATCCCTTTGAAAAGTCTTTATTTTAATAGCAGTTGAAAAGGCTAAATTTATTCTAATAACAATGCACAATTAAATAATTCGAAAATACACACATGTTTAGTAGGAAATTGTCCACATAATCTGGCATTTTCCAGTCATTGCCTTTAAATCCTCATTCACATCACAATTAATATAAAATAATTATTCTCATAATTCTCCAATTTCATAAACTATCAAAATTTTCCTTCTGAAATCGAATGAATAGCTTCTCATCCTGAAGATATGCATAAAGCCATCTCTCATGACTCCACTCTTCTCCATATAAACTAAATTTTATAACCGACTGGTGCCAGAGTGTTTACATTCTTGCATTTACCCTAAACAGAATGAAGTAATGAAGAAGTGGAATGAATGACTCATTATGTATCAGATTTTCGACCCGAGTACGTCATCAACTTCTTTGTGTCGTTCTCAGTCTCTCGGAGAGTATCAATGAGTAAAGACGTGTCTTCTAATTAATAAAGTCAGTTGCATCCAAGAATTATCAGAGAGTGGTCGCATTTATTATCATAATTCCAAGGCAAAAACCATGAGTTTTTCAAAATTGCCAGCTTTAGTCTGAAAACTGCACGGAGAGAAAAGTTGAATAAAAATTAATTATTAACTATTAATTATCAACTATTAACTATTAATTATTAACTATTAATTATTAATTATTAACTGTTACGAATATTTTGCGATTCCTTCGATAAAAAAATCATTCTTCATGCAGAATCTCTCTTCCATTCTACATTGTATCTACATCTCCACAGGAGTAATGCACATTGTGGTATTTTCCGCGTACCGTCCGATAAGCCCCCCACGCCGAACCATTCTTTCTTCCTCCGTCCGACAAAACGCCTGTACCAAGTATGTAACAGTGACGCAATTGTCTGCAGCATAACCGCCGCGATACCGCGAGTTGCCGTCAGTGTAGTGGTTTCAATATTTCTATTACCTCAGCACCTGGAAGTGGCCTTTTGCCGAAAAAAGTTGGCCCTCGGACCGTAATTTTAGCGCAGTAATTGATCAATCTATCGATTCAGCAATTTTACGGAACTAATTGTCCGCGGAATTGAGGCGTTTCCCCGAAGAATAGACGACTGCGCTGAATTCTCATGCAATACTGCTTGTTTTTATCAATTCTCCCGAAGATCTGACTCATGACCTTGGACATTGTAATACATATATTGGCATTAATACTTCATTAATGAAATGTCAAAAATGTTTAGACGATTAAGATCTTTATCCGTCGCCCGTAACGAGCTCAGCCATCAGCGACAGTTTGAGTATTTCCTAGTGGGATTATTATTTAGCGTGATTAACGTTTGTCGATTCTACATGTGACTTTGAGGTATGATTCAGTCGTCCGTTGACGCGTAGACCGTACAGTGCGATTATAAAACACTCGGTGATACAATAGAAAAATAAATTGTTGGAAAAATCGTTTAAGAATCAACGAAAAATTGGAAGAAAAATTCAGTTAAATTATTGAACGGAGAAAAGTGGATTTTCTTTAGTAAAAAGTGATCATTTTTCATCAAAAAGTCATCATTTTTCACCAAAAACTCACAAACTCAACTGTTTGTTTTTGAAAAATTACGTTTTGAAGTAGAAAATTAAAAAAAAAATTGAAATGCAATTTTTTGCGACTATTAATCACCTGGAGAAACAAATTAACAAAAAATTGCAAAAAGAAATAAGTAAAAATGATTGAGCTGAATAAAGTGGATATTCTTCAGTAAAAATTCACAAGTTTTACGGTTTGCTTTCGAAAAATTATGTTTCAAAGGAGAACATTGAAAAAAAATTGAAATGCAATTTTCAACGATTATTAAACCCCCGGAAAAAAAAATAAACAAAAAAATTGTAGAAAAAGCTAGTAAAAATTACTGAGTTGTGTAAAGGGGACATTCTTCGCCAAAAAGTGATCATTTTTCACTAAAAACTCAAAAATTTTACTGTTTATTCTCGAAAAATAAGGTTTCAAAGGAAAAAAATTGAAAAAAAAAATTCCGCAATACAATTTCCCTCGTGAATTCTACAGTAAAGTGTGTCTGGAATCAAATAAAAATTATTATTGAGGCATTGAGGTCTGAAAGAATAACCGGAAAGGGTGAAGCGATAAATATTGTGGTTTTTCAGCGAAGTTATGATAATAAAAACCATGAGAGGGAGAACTGGCTGTGGTTTACGAGACATTATGGGGTAGATTCTACGCCGTAGAAACTCAGTTCGACATTCAGTTTCTATTTACAAGTGCAAATGGATGGTTGGGTGATATGTGATGCTGTGGGAAACAGCATGGAGACTGAATTTTCACTGTCCGAGGGGGAATTTTCCGAGTATGAAACATCAAATGTTCTCATACAAGAGGGGAAGTTTGGGGATTGGGTTGTGTTATATGTAGTGCAAGGCGAACCAGTTGCCACAAAGTTTTGGCGCACAGGTAACATACTCCTCGACGTTTATGGTCTCTACATTATAACGGATATTGTATTACGCCTATCGTTGAAACACTAGACTCGGGGGGGGG